TGCCTGTGTGGGTGGGCAGATGCCAGAACTGGGTAGCCTTGGTCCCGCCTGCCTGGCTCCGAGACTGACAGAGGAGGAGACCAGCAAAGAGACAGGAAGGTTCAAGTAGGGAAGCCCTTCCTCTCCTCCCCTCTGCAGGGCCTTAGTACACGCTGCCTTTGCTGGGATGCTCTCTCTCTCTCACCTAAAACAGTTTAATCCTTCCCTGGCTCCGCCACCGTGTCATTCAGTTCTCAGTTCCAACCTCGCTCATTAGAGAGATCTTCCCTGACCACTCCACCTACCTCAGGTGCTGTCACCTCCCCCAACTAATTTTCTTCAAGACCCCATCATCTCTGAAATTATCTTGGGTTTTTCTTGTGCCCCTTTCTCTGCTTTCCACTAGGACATCATTTCTCCACTTTTTTTTTTTTTTTTTTTGTCTTATCAACCCCACCAACGAGAGTCTCTTTAGACATTTTTGTGCTAATTATCTACCCATGAAATTTTGAATGCCACAGTCTCCCTAGTTGCTGGGATTACAGGTATTTGCCACTGTACCTGGCCAAACTATGTATCTATATACCGTGGCCCTCTGGCGAGCCACAAATTGTTGTAACATCTAAGAATTTTTCACTCCAGACCATTGGAGCTAATCTCACTGCCATTGAAAATGGATTAGAACATAAACTCGCTGCAGCCATGTTCGCTGCTGCATTTTCAGCCAGACTTGAAGCATAGTAGGTGCTCAATAAATATTTGTAGTATGAACAAAAGTCCAGTTACCCTGGGGTCACAAAGGAGATGTTTCTCCCAGAATTGGAGGAGAGGTGAGCAGGGAAGAGGCGACTCTGCAGTGGAGTTCCTGCCAGCTGACTGAGGAAGGGAGGTGGGAGGGTGACCAGTTCCAGGGCACAATATTGGTAAAGGCACAAGGGCATGAAGCTCTCGGGAGTATCTATGTGGCCCCTCCACATGTGTGGTCAGGACTATTAGAGGCTTTGAAGTCAGAGGAAGGACCTTAAAAGTGGTGCTAGCCTGAGCTCTCCTGGGGATCACATCAGGAGAGCTGGCTGTAGGAAGCCATAATGGATAGGTGTATTGACCTTGCAGACTTAAGGGGTTTGCCTGGCTAGGAGTCCGTGACCCTCTTATGAAGGTCATTAACCATCACATGTCACAAATGGCCATGGATCCCCATGGAAGCTGTCAGTTCCAAAGAGAAACTTCTCCCGTTTTGCCGTAATCCAAGCTAAGGATACAGACAGGCCCTCGGGCCGGGGTCTCCTGGAAGCCTCTGTGACCTCAGAGACCTCCCTGAACCCCAGCCTTACCCCTGCCCACCGTGCCAGGCCTAGCTAAAATCAGTGGGAGCTACCTAGAGGCGGTGGGGCTTATCTCTGCATTCCCAGACCAGGGCTGCTCTGCAGTCCTGTTTATTTATCCAGAGCAGCCACCCACCCACTGAGAAAATGGCTGTGTTTGTTTCCAAGTGTGTCTGTGTGAACCATGGGCTAAATATACCCACACCACCGCCCCTCCAGCCCCCGCCCTGGAACAGCACGCCTCATTTTGCTCGTACTCTGCGAAAGCAGTCCCCAGAATCCACGCCCTTGGAAATCCTACCACCCCTCCCCAGGAGAAGGAGCTCCTGAAATGGGGATTGTCCTGGCCAGGACTGCATGAGTGGGGACTGGAGCCGGTCAGTGCCTTGTTTTCTGTGGCACTGAAATGAGAATGCCCCCTCTACTCTGGAATGACTGTTCCTGGACAGTGGACGCTTTGTGTCCTTGCAGGGATAGGGCCTGTTTACTCCAGCCCAAGCCCCAGAGCTGAAAATTTCCTGTGGCTGCCAGCCTCCTACTTCAGGAAAGTTCCCATCAAGAGAGTCAGGCCCCTCCCATTTTGGAACCAGTGTCCCTGGTTCCTTGTGGGACATTTGGCCCCTTGGGATAAGCAGGGTCTTCTGGCCCTTGCCTCACTCCTGCTGGGTTCCCCCAGACTGGTACTCTCCCACATTGTACAGAAGTTGTGGTGTCTTCATCTGGGCCTAAATAACTTGGGAGAAGAAAAATTTCAACTTCCATAGAGTTTTCTCATCTGCTAAAACCTATAGAGGCAGGTCAGGATGGAGAGGAAGACAGGGAGGCCTGGGCAGCCACTGCCCCTCCCCAGATCCTGGGCTCCACCTCAACCCCGCTTCCAGAGTCAGACGACTGACAGGACAAGTCTCCAACCCCTGACATAAGAAAAATGTCCTACTGTAGCTGCACTCCCTTTGATTTGCGTTTTTGTTTGAGGGCTGCTGAGGAGGGAACCCAGGCCCTTAGGCGTGCTAGGCAAGCGCTCTCCCACTGAGCTACACCCCAGCCCGGGCACCCACCGTGTAACTGGGCAGCCCTACAGCCCAATTCCAGCTCTGTTGTTAACTCTCTGTTCCCTCCTGAAGTCTCACTCATGTCACTGTGATAGGGAGCTCACCTCTCTCTAAGGACTCTGATGATGGTGAAATGTAGTAACAATGCCTGGTACTTAGTAGACAAGTGACACGTTTGTTCTACTCATGAACAGTCACGCGCTGCTTAACAACAGGGAGACAGCCTGAGCAACGTGTTAGACATGTCATTGTTGTGAACATTGTAAAGTGTTCTTAGCAAACCTAGGTGGTTGCACAAGAGGAGGCAACGCAATTGAGGGAGGGGCGCAGTAAACAGGAGCTGTCTGAGGCTGCTGCTGGCCTGACGGGACTGACAGCTGTGCAGTAACCGTGGTCTTTATAAGTAGGAGGACACCTTAAGATAATGATAGTAAGGGTTGTGTAATAAATACACAAGCCAGTGACAGCCGTGTATTGTCACTATCAAGTCTTATGTACTGTACGAAATTGTGCTTACTATACTCCTCTTGTGACTGTGAGCTCAGTGGGTTTGTGTGCATCAGCACCCCGCAGACACATGAGGACACCTCGTGCCCTGGAATGGCAAGAACTCTGACCCCAGTCAGCCAGGCGAGAGGAAGTTTTCAGCTCACCGTAATGTTATGGGCCTACCATCGTTCATGTGTCATTGACCAAAACGTCACTATGCAGCGCATGATCTTTATCGAGCCCCAGCTCTGTGCCAGACACTGTTCTGAGCACTGGATGTACAGGAACAAGACAGGATGTCTGCCCTCATCAGGACACATCTAGTAGAGACAGGCTAGTATAGGAGTGCTCGCCCTGCTTGTACAAGTAATAGAACTTTTCTCACTCCTAAAAAAAAGATCCAGTACTGAGATGGGTTGCCACAGAACAAAGTCTGCCGACTGGCTATGAGACTTGCTGAGGGAAAAAATAAAGCAAGGTTGAGAGTAGGCAGAGAGAGATGGAGTGGATGCTGTTTAGACAAGGTGGCCAGGAGAATCGGCAGAGGGGCCAGTGTGCCTGGGGTTAAAAGGGACAGGGCATAGAGGACAGAGGGCTCGCTAGGCCTTGCCAGCTGGGGTAAGCAGTGAGGACTTTATTCTAGGTGTGAAGAAGCCTTGGACGTGGCAATCTCTGAGGGACCAAGTGGAGTGGTCAGGTGGAGGGGCCTTGCCCACCTGCTTGCTTCCCCAGGGTCCTCTTGTCCACCTGGCTCAACTCATGGGCACTGCTGCCCCCCTAAGGGAATAATAAATGTTGAGGGTTCTTGCAGCCAGATCTGCAGCTCAGTGTGTGTGGCACTCTGCTAGGTACCAGGGATACAAAAATAAGTGGCACTGCTTTGAAAGTGCAGGGGAAAGCTGCTGGGGGTGGGCCTGGGGTAAGCACCAGTGTGCTGTGACCTGATGTGTGTTCTTAGCAACATGAGTGGGGACTGGAGCCAGTCAGTGCCTTGATCCCTGTGGCACTGAAATGAGAATGTCCCCTCCACCCTACAGAGAACATGGATGGAGGGGGTCATCAGTGGGGCAGATAGGTACCCCCGGCAGCACACTGATGGGTGGGTCCTGAGGCTAACTGGAGATGGCAGGCCCTGTGTGAGGGAGCAGCCGCTTGGCCAGCTGGGACTGGATGATGCTGTGGTGCCGGGGGAGAGCATGGTAGAGGCTAAGCAGGCCTCTGGAGCCAGCTAGTGGTCCATTCATTCCATAGCACACACTGACCACTTGGTCCTGGGGCTGGATACAGGTTTAGGTTCTAGTTCCACTGCTTGCTGACCAAGCTTGGTGACCCAAGCAGGGCTACCATGATCTGGCCCTTTGGCCCTGAGAACCCCAGCTTCCTGAGCTGTGCAGGGAGATCGGCACTGAAGGCCGTGGGAAAGGTGAAAAGCTGAGCTGGCCTGAAGCTCACTCTCAGAAGAAGCCCGGCAGGCCCTGCTCCCTGTGCTGGGTCATTACCCACAGCCCCCTCCTCCTGTCCTGTGCTTCCCGGGACTGAACTTCAGGGCAGAGGGCTATTGCTCACCTCCCTCTGGGCTCAGAATGACAACCCTAGGTGGGACGGTACGGGTCTCAGAGACCACATAAGGAAGCCTCCCTGCTAGCCCTGGTCTTTCCATCCTCCAACCTGCCCTGCCAGAGGCTCCCTCTAGAAGGAGAAGGGGCCTCTGGTGTGGCAGAGGAAGGGCGAGGCACAGCCCCACTCAGATTCGACCCAAGCTCCTCTGTGGCTTCCAGGCTGCATCACCTGGCTCTTTTGGCCACGGGCGGGGAGGGGGTGCTGGCGACTGAACCAGAGATGCTCTACCCTGTGCCACATCCCCAACCCCTTTTTAACTTTTTTTTATTTTGAGGCAGGGTCTTGCTAAGTTGCTTAGGGCCTCAGCCTCCCATGTTGCTGGGGTCCTAGTTCTTTCTCTCCCTACCTGTGTCAGCAATAACCTGGGTTCACCATGCCCACCTGGGGGTCCGGGCAGCCCTTAACTAGCCCACAGCGGGCCCTGATGCTGCCATTTTCAAATCACAGGTACCATTGCATACAGATGGCACCTTCTCCCACCCAGCCACGTTAGGTCTGAGGATTTAAATGGTGCTTTCACTTCTCTTTCCTGCAGGACACTTTTGTGGAACTCTACGGGAATAACGCGGCAGCAGAGAGCCGGAAGGGCCAGGAGCGCTTCAACCGTTGGTTCCTGACGGGCATGACTGTGGCCGGCGTGGTTCTGCTGGGCTCGCTTTTCAGTCGGAAATGACCAGACACTGACCACCCACTCACCCTCCCTCCCACCCCACCCCACTCCACTCCACTCCACCCCACCCCACCCCACTGCGTCCCTCCGTCCAGCCACTATTGCCACCAGGAGAACCACTACATGCAGCCCATGCCCACCATCCATCCCTGGGTTGGGCCTAGACCTGGTCCTCTGCAGTTAGTTTTCTAGAATCTACCACGCTTCTGTGAGAGCCACTTTCCCCCATACCTCAGTTCTCTTGGCCTCAAAATCCACAAAATTTCCCTAAAATCTGTCCCATGAAGGCTGTCAGGGGGTGGGGGTGGCTGGGGGCAGGAGGGCCCTACCTAATTGGTAGAACCTTGCTACCCTTAGCCTCGGAGACTGCTTTCCTCTCGTAAGGAGCTAGAAAGTTTTTTGAACCTCTTCCCCAGAAAGAGACTAGATTGCCTTTGTTTTGATGTTTGTGGCCTCAGAGTTGATCATTTCCCACCCCCCTCTGGACCTGGGCCCCTATTCCTTCCATCTCTACCCCCAAGAGCCATTTAGAGGCCACTTTTGACTAATTAGCAATTCAGGTTGCTTGGGATAAAGAAGCTGATCAGGACTTCCTCCCACCTCTGGCCTGGCCCCAGTCCCCTCCTGGTCTGAATGTTCTCCAGAGGCCTCTGCTAGAGGCTAGTCTCACCTAGGAGGGAGGGGGCTCCAGCTGCAGGAAGTACCCCATGCTAAAGCTGGGTGGCCCTTGCGGTTTAGCACCACCCTAGTCCCCTCCCTGTCTCCCATGACTATGACTGAGGGACCAACTGGGCCCAAGACAGGTGCCCCAGAGCTGTTCATGGCCTCAGCTGCCCCACTTCCTGCGAGATCAGCCTGTGGCATCTTTGCCTTGGGCTGCTGCCTATCGGGTCTGGGGTTCAGGGACCTCAGCCCAGAGGTAAAGGGGAGCTATAGGGAGCAGCTGTAGGAGCCCTGGGGTCTTCCCTACCTCGGGCAGGAAGGAGAGCCTGGTGCACGGGCCAGGGGGCGGGGCATGACTGGAGGGGCCTGTCCTGCCTGGCCAGGCAGATATCTGCCCCACTCTGTCCAGCCTGGGCAGCAGGGCTGCCAAGGTCCAAGTGGCCTGGCCAGGAGCCTCTCAGGCCTCCCTCTCTCTCCTCTGTTCCACCCTTGGCCTGTTTCATCCCTGGGGGTCCCAGCACAGCACTGGCCACCCCGGGCTCTCTGCTGTACATATTCCAGACTAGTTTTTATTCCTTGTGAAGATGATATACTATTTTTGTTAAGCGTGTCTGTATTTATGTGTGAGGAGCTGCTGGCTTGCTGTGCGTGTGCACGTGGAGAGCTGGTGCCCGGAGATTGGCAGCCTGATGCTCCCTCCCCTGCCCTGGTCCAGGGAAGCTGTCCTAGGGGTCTTGGCTCCTGAGGGGCACCTGTCCCCCCTCCCACCCCCACTTGTTCCAGCTCTTTGAAATAGTTTGTGTGAAGGTGAAAGTGCAGTTCAGTAATAAACTGTGTTGACTCAGTGAACCAAAGGCTTGCGTGTGCTTGGGATGGGGAGGGAAGGAGCTACTGGGCAGGCAGAGGCTGTAGGAGAGCCAGTTACTGGTCCTGGCTGCTCTGCCCTCAGAGAGAGAGAGATCCCTTCCTCCCTCTGGGCCTGAATCGCTTCACCTGTACATTATAGTGTTTTTACTGAGCACCTACTATGTGCCGGGCACTGTGAACAGGACAGACATAGCCCCTGCCCTCAGGAGCTGACATTGTAGTGGGAGAAACATCAAATAGCCACTCAGCAAGTGAGAACTGAGCATTGATCTGATGCTCCCTCCCCTCCCCTGGCACAGTCCTAGGTACTGGGGATCCTTGCCTTTTTTAAAAGTGCCGATTCTAGTGGGAGAGAGACCCACATATCAGCACTGTTCTGGTTTCTGTAGAGCAGTGGGTGGTCATGAGGAAGCCATTGCATTCTCCTGGCATGAAGGACTTGGGGAAGGATGGAAGAAGCAGTCAGTCTTGAGGTAATTTTTTTTTTTTTTTTTTTTTGGTACCAGGGATTGAACTCAGGGGCACTTGTCCACTGAGCCCCATACCCAGCCCTATTTTGTATTTAGAGACAGGGTCTCACTGAGTTGCTTAGTGCCTTGCTGTTGCTGAAGCTGGCTTTGAACTCTGATCCTCCTGCCTCAGCCTCCCCAGCCGCTGGGATTACAGGCAAGTGCCACCACACCCGGCTCCCACCCCTTTTTAATTTTTATTTTGAAACAGGGTCTTGCTTAGTTGCTTAGGGCCTTGCTAATTTGCTGAGGCTAGCCTTAAACTTGTGATCCTCTTGCCTCAGCCTCCCAAGCCACTGGGATTACAGGTGTGTGCCACCACACCTGGTATGAGGTAACATTTTAACATTTTTAAGGTAGATTCTCAGGATTTCTCTGGGAGGCAGAAAACAGGGCGGGCTCCCTGGAGGAAGTGATATGAGAGCAAGGACCTAAAGTAAGTAACAGAAGGGGGACGCAGGAGAGTCGGTCCTGGCCAAGCAGCAGCAGATGTGCAGGATGCGCAGGGCCTTCTGCCCCGAGAGGCATGAGGTCCGGGACTGAACTTGGCCCTGAGGGCAGTGCCAGCTGAGAAGGGTGGTCAGAAGAGGTAAGAGACCTGTGCCCTGCTGCTCCCAAGGGTCCCCCTGGCTGCTGTGTGGAGAATGTCCTGGAGGGGAGCAGAGTGGAAACCCTGGTTTGGTTGAAGCTTCCGTTCTGAGAGTGGCAAGATGTGTCCCAGGTCACCGTGCTTAGTCTTGTGTGGCTGGACAAGTCCCCTAACCTCTTCATGCCCCAGTTTCTCCTCTACAAAATGGGTGTGCATCCCTCAGGATTGCTTTCAGGATGGACTGAGATGACCCGGTGGGGTGGGGGCCCAGAGGCGGGGTGGGGTCGGGATGATCCTGCCACGGGGCAGGCGGGCCCTCCAGGAGGAGGAAGGAGGTCCTGCGCTCCAAGGCCCATGTGGCTGCGGCCCAAGGTCCCGAGGCTCTGGGAATGGTCAGGGAGTCCAGTTCCAGGGAGTGACCTGCCTCCCGCCGCCGCCTCGCCCTCTTTCAGGAGCGGGCCCGACTGCCCCCTGGTGGCCACGGGATGCTACCCTAAGCCACCCGCAGCCCAAGCCGCTGAGTGCCCATCTCGGGCCGCCTGCTTTTCCCAGTGTCCTCCAGAGTCCTCCTGCTCCTCAAAGGACAGATTCAGAGCTTGCCTCAGCTTTCCTAAGGCTCAGAGTCGCCATTCTTGATTCAAGGCTAAAGCCTCCAGCCTCCCACCAGCCTCTCCCCTCATGAGGTGTTCCCGGATCCTACCCCTACGCTGTCACTCAGCGTCTCTCCCCAGATTTTCGATATGCTTCCAGAAACGTCTTTTCACCTACAGGGAAATACACACATCCCATTATATTTTTATCCCTCCCTTCCTTTTTAAATAAATGGTAACATTAGACACACTTTGCCTTGCTAGTCCTGGCACGTCATGTCTTGTAGAAGTGTCTGTTTTCATACATAATTCTCATCAGGCAGCCCCAACAATTATCAGCTCGTAACAACTTCATTCTTTTTTCCAGTTGTATAAGTATTCCACAAAAATTTTTAGCCAGATCTCTCAGTGATTCCCAGCCATGTATATGCCATCACACGTGAAAAAATGTTGGAATTGCACACTGAGGGAAAGTTGGAAGGGATGTGGGCTGTACATGTGGTGGTGAGTCTTGGGAAAAAATTCATTCCATTTTTGTATATTACATATTTATGATGAAAGAAGTGAAATGACACATTTCATAAGAAAGATATGAAATATTAATTTTATTAAAACATCCAGATAACATATTTCTAAAATTGTTTCTTAAGAAACTTGATTTGAGGCTGGGGTTGTGGCTCAGTGGTAGAGTGCTTGCCTCACATGTATGAGGCACTGGGTTCAATCCTCAGCACCACATAAAAATAAGTAAATAAAAGTATTGTGTCCATCTACAACTAAGAAAATATTTAAAAAGAAAGAAAGAAACTTGATTTTGAGCTAGGTATGGTAGCAGACTACTGGGATAGCTGGCTGTCCTGGACAAGTGACTCTTGGTACCTGAGTTTATCTATCTCTGTAATCCCAGCAACTCCAAAGGCTGAGGCAGGGGGATCTCAAGTTCAAAGCCAGCCTCAGCAAAAGTGAGGTGCTAAGCAACTCCGTGAGACTCTGTCTCCAAAGAAAATATAAAATAGGGATGGGATGTGACTCAGTGGGTGAGTGAGAAAAAGAAAGAAAGAAACTAACTTGATTCTGAGTTGGGCACAGTGGTACACACCTGTAATCCCAACTCCCAGCTACACAAGAGGTCAAGGCAGAAGGATTCCAAGTTCAAGGTCAAACTGGGGAATTTAGGAAGATCCTGTCTCAAAAATAATATTAAAAGGGCTGGGGGTGTAGCTCAGTGGTAGAGCACCCCTGGGTTTAATCCCCAGTACAAAAAGGAAGGAAGGAGGATAAAGGCAGATGACATGTCAGATACTTAGGGGACAGCTTCAAAGTCCTATGTCAGGGTCTTTTCTGTTTTTTTCTCTTTTCTGTCCTCCCTCCCTCCCTTCCTTCCTTCAATGCAGGGGGGGGGGGATCTAACCCTAACCCTTGTGCAGGCTAGTCAGTGCTCTCACCACTGCACCACACCCCTAGTCCTGCTTGTGCAATTTTGTAAAAAACAAGCTGTAAAAACCCATTTGAGCCCATGTGGTGGTGCACACCTGCAATTCCAGTGGCTCAGGAGGCTGAGGCAGGAGGATGGCAAGTTCAAAGCCAGCCTCAGCAACTTATCGAGGCCCTGTCTCAAAATAGAACATAATAAAGGGCTGGGGATGTAGCTCGGTGGTTACATGCCCCTGAGTTCAGTCCCTGGTACCAAAAACAATCAAAAGAACCCATTTGATCATGATCAGTTTATATCATGATCAAATTCATCTTACAATGTCCAACTCTCCATTTTTCTATCTCTACCTGTCATAGTCTTTGTTATAGGCAAAAATAACAAGAACTTTTTTAAATTTCTTTTTTAAGAGAGAATTTTAATATTTATTTTTTAGTTTTCGGCGGACACAGCATCTTTGTTTGTATGTGGTGCTGAGGATTGAACCTGGGCCGCACGCATGCCAGGCGAGCGCGCTACCGCTTGAGCCACACCCCCAGCCCTAAATAACAAGAACTTTTATTAATATATAGAAAATAGTAGAAATAAACATATATGACCTATATAAATTTATGTCGTGATTTTAATAAATATTCATGCACAAATGTTGGAATTCTGGGCATATGGAATATTTATTCCCTTCTAAATTATTTAAGCCATCTTATTTCAGTAGGTTCACACATGAATAATTAGCTGGAATAATTTCATTATAAAGGGTTTTGTGAATTCATAAGGAATATAAATAGGTATATTACAAAGTTTTAACAAGACAATCTTAAAATTTGAAGAAGGCAGGCTGGGCTGTAGCTCAGTGCTAGAACATGTGCCAAGCATTATCTAGACCCTGGGTTCAATGCACAGCACTAGAAAAAATTAAAATTAAAAATTAAATTAAAATAAACAGATGGGCACAGTGGTGCACACCTGTAATCCCAGTGTTTGAGAGGCTGAGGCAGGAAGATTGCAAGTTCCAAGCCAGCCTCAGTAACTTAGTAAGGCCCTAAGCAACTCAGCAAGACCTTGTCTCAAAATAAAATACAAAAAGGACTGGGAATATTGCTCAGTGGTTAGCACCCCAGGGTTCAACCCCTGGTACCAAATAAATAAATAAATTGAATAATTCATTCTTAAATCACTAAGGTACCAAGAATATGGACAAGAAGTAGTTCTAGAGCCAGGTAGGGTGGTTCACACCTGTAATCCCAGCCGCTCAGGAGGCTAAGGCAGAAGGATCTCAAGTTCAAGGCCGGCCAGCCTCAGAATTTAGCAAGAACCTGTATCGAAATAAAAAATAAAAGGAGTTTTAGCAGAAGAGCTACAATCCCTAGTTACACACACACACACACACACACCCCTGTGGTTCTGGAGCCAGGCATGGTGGTGCTTGCCTATAATCCCAACTACTTGGGAGACTGAGGCAGGAGGATCACAAGTCCAAGACCAGACTCAGAGACTTAACCAGACCCTAACTCAGAATAAAATTACAAGGGCAAAGGATGTACCTTGGTGGTACAGCACTTGCCTACCTTATTCAAGATCTTGGACTCAATCCCCAGCACTGCAATAATAATAAAATTATAATAAAGATAAAACCTTGTGTGCTGGGGTCATGGCTCAGCGGTAGAGCGCTCGCCTCGCATGTGTGAGACCCTGGGTTCGACCCCCAGCACCACATAAAAATAAATAAGTGAAATAAAGGTAATGGGTCCAACTACAACTAAAAAATAAATATTCAAAAAAAAAAGATAAAATCTTAAATTGCAAGCCATTTATGTGGTGAAGCATCCCTCGGCTGCTATTGGCTGTCCCTTACCTGGGCTAGG